TGTATCTATCCTTTACTTCAGTTTTATATTTAACACCATTATTAATTAATTTTAATTGAGAAGTAAATGTTATTTGACAAGTATTTTTTTATGAAAGCATTACCTATTTTTGACTAGTAATGCTTGGAGACGACTTGAATGGGTAATGAAGAAAAACTTTAATACAACTTTAACATAACAGCAAATGGTTTATTCATCATCAGGTATAAGTAGTTTACACTACTAAGTTCGGTCATCCCAACATACTGACCCCTTTGAAAGTAGTAAAATTTTGGAATTCCGAGATGAACATGTTAGATGGGAATCTGCACTGTGCATAATAATATTTTTTGATACAGGAGTTTTTTTACTAAGACAGGCATGAATTACATTTGCAAATCTTGGCTATGAATTTACTAGATGGATTAAGAAGCCATGCTATATCCCAGATACTGACAGATTTGTCTGTACTGAAATTTAGAAAAAGCATGATGTGGGAATAGATTTTCTGCAATGTATGTCCCCCTTAACAAAGTAACCTCTGGAGACAGTATGCAAATTTTGTCCATGTTATTGCAAACCTGATGGGATTTGTCTGGACGTCTTCTTGCTTCACTTGTAGTTAGATCAGCTCTTGGTATACCAACCATTATCACATCACCCATAGAGAGCTCTAAAGTATTTTCCCCATATTTTTTTATATTTAAAGGACATTCTGTTCATACTCTTCCCAATTTCAACATGCACATTTTCTCAACTTTTGAATACTTTTGATTGATTGTCTTAAATATTTCAGATGAATTACTACCTTAGATTTAATCTTTGATCCAGTGGTGGGTATAACAGCATTATCAATATCCTCTTAATTGACTGGTGGACTATTCCTGTCCAATTTCTCACCAACATAATTATTCTGTTTGACATCCTATAACCTAGATAACTCATTACTAACCTGATTCTGTTTGTGTTTTGTACATGTATTAGCTACCATTTCAATAAATGATGTGGATTTTGAGGTATTGCTTTGTATCTGTACTTCATATAGTGATTGCATATTTCCTCAAACAATTGCTCATCCAAATCTTCTCTATTTTCACTACAATAATATAAGGAAATTCCCTAGTATTCATAAGCAAGCCATTGTTTACACAACAATCACCCAACACATACGTCAATGGGTGTATTTGGAAATAAATCATCATGACTATTTTTACTATCACAATGATCATCAACATGTAATTTGGCAACTACCCATATATTCATGACTTCTTCACTAATGGAGATAATAATGGCATTTGCCAAAACATTTCACTAGAGTTTTTACCATAATATATATAATATGGTGAAACTATGGTTGTCTTAGACACCTGAATATTTCAAAGGATAGATTAACTTTGGTAGCCAGGATGTTCAGAGAAAGAAGGATTGATCATGAAGACACAGTCCAGATTTCAATTTGCTGAGTTTGCCCTCTACAACTTTCTTGTCATTCTAAACACAACCTTGAGACTGGAAGTGACGAGGCCTATCAGTAGTCAATATTTTGTCCTATTCCAACTACTCAAACAATGGAGTTTTATGCCATTTTGAGAATAAACAAAAATTCGTGGTACACCAATGCATGTCAATTCTCATTCCTTCAGCATGAATGCTACTTCACTTGTAGACTTACTTTTTACTTTTCAAAGGACACAAAAAATTAAACTTTGAAGAGTAATAAACAACATGACAAATGTATTGTATTAGCCATCTTCCCTGTATGTGGTTATACTCTCTACTAGGAAAAAATGTTGAGTAAACTATACTATAATAGTCAGGTTCTAGATATTGCATAGCATCCAATGTTAGATCAATTAAACTAAGGATACAGGAATTTCAAGTGACTTTCAAGTAAAACCACTTAAGAAAGTCATCTAAATCTTCCTTCACTAAATGATGGAGGCATAATCTTTTTCATCTCGTCATTCTATGGCAGTTATATCAAGTGCAGCTATTCACCATCTGTGTAATTTGGCATGAATTACTATGGAGCTGGTTTTGATATAATCACTGACTCCTCTATTGGCCGTGATTTGTATGATCTGCCAAACATTATACTCCTTCTTTCATTTACTCAAGTGATGCATTGCTATAGTAATAGTGTAAGCTCTTGAATACAAGATTATTGTTGTCACGAGGCATAAACACTTCTTCTTTCATTGGAAAACTCGTGGCTTATCCAGGTTTCACCATGTTTCATAAACACTTCTTCTTTCATTGGAAAACTCGTGGCTTATCCAGGTTTCACCATGTTTCATAAACACTTCTTCTTTCATTGGAAAACTCGTGGCTTATCCAAGTTTCACCATGTTTCATAAACACTTCTTCTTTCATGGGAAAACTCGTGGCTTATCCAGGTTACACCATGTTTCATAAACACTTCTTCTTTCATTGGAAACATGGTGAAACCTGGATAAGCCACGAGTTTTCCCATGAAAGAAGAAGTGTTTATGTAAACATGGTGAAACCTGGATAAGCCACGAGTTTTGAAGCATGATGATAACCGTGATGGCTGGAGGTGGATAGGATTAAGGTGATGAACATCAAATGGCAAATGGCAACTTCTAGCTACTTCCAAGAAGTCCATCCAGCATTTAATCTCAGTTGTGGTGGGTAGTGATCTACCTAGTGTACTGTACGAATTGTCTCAGGTGGTATCAGAATAAAGTGGTCGGTTACCTTTTTTGTCAACTTTCCATCAATTTCTCCAGTTTTGGCTGAGCTGCGCAAGAATTACTGACATTATCAGCAGTTCTGAATGGACTATGCTGAGATTTAGTCATTTTGTTGGATTGAAAGAGATCTGGAACACTTGCTGAGAAGCTAGAAAGCATTACAATTTAAAAGAGGAGATCTCAGAATTAATCCAGGGTTCTCAGATCGTTTCAGCACTTCCACAAGTTTAATGAGGTTTCGGGGTCATGTCATGAGTAAATAATATGGTATGCAAGCAGACTTGTTTTAGAACCACTGCTCTACGGTAAATCTGTTAATACAATAATATCTCACTAGGAGTATGAGAGAAATAGTATGCTAGAATGAAAAATACAAATAAATTATCACTTGAGTTAAACTGTGGTATTTCAAGGATTAACCGAGCACACAATTACCTGACCTTTGCAATAACAAGATCTCTGTAGATTAATGTTTGGAAAAACAGTTATACAAAATATTATGTGAAGTATAAACAAAAATAAGAAGCAAGAAATAGAAGGATACCGATTATATCAGCGCTAGGAATATTGCATTGTGATGAGGTTAAAGTGGGTAAATGATACTGTATTAAAATAATGAGAGAAACAAAAGCGAAATAAGCTTAAGATTATTTAAATTGGACAACTAAAAGAAAGACGCAAAGAAAAGCAGCAACATAAAACAGGGACAGAATATCATCAGCAAACCTTGACTCTACCAGAAACGAATCTGGCTGAAAACACTGTCACATCCCACATTCTCTCTGCAGCTGACCAATCAGAAAGATGGATATCAAGCTAACTAAATGTCCTTGCTTTATGAGATAACCATAGAACAGTTTCACATACACAAGGCAACCTAAAACACGATACAGCTTTCCAACAAAACAGTAAGTAACCATAAATACCTTCATTGACTGAATCACACTATAGAATGTAGCACCAAGTGTTTAAATGATACACGATTTAAAACGTTCTGATAACTATTCTGGTTAGTTGAAAGAAGTAATTGTTCAGCTGTCGACAATGATTATATTATCATAGGTGTCACTTCTAGTTGAAACGAACATTAATGTTTATATGCTGAGCAAGTTAAAGGTTCAGGTCACTTCTAGTTGAAACGAACATTAATGTTTCCATGCTGAGCAAGTTAAAGGTTCAGGTCACTTCTAGTTGAAACGGACATTGATGTTTCTGAGCTGAGGATTGTTTGTTTGTTATTAAGCACAAAGCTACACAATGGGCTATCTGTGCTCTGCCCACCACGGGTATCGAAACCCGGATTCGAACGTATAAGTCCGCAGACATACCGCTGTTCCACTGGGGGGCGCTAAGCTGAGGAAGTAAAAGGTTCAATATATTGAATTAAGACTTGTGAACTGAACTTGAAATTTTCAATAAATTAAAATTTTTGAAAGAGCTTTTACAAAAAAGGCTGAATACTAGACCCGTAGTCTTATACTTAAAATAAAATTGTTCGTAAGTTTCTAATTTTAAACAGATCTGTCTACATTAGTTAAAGAGATGTAATTTTATGCTAAAAGTTTTATCTAACTGCATTAGAATAAAGCATCATCCGTTACATTTGCAATAAAAATGTTTTAATTAACTGTAAAATTCTCTAAGAAAAGCTAGAGAATTTCAAAAATTAAACTTTTTTTGTATATTTGTATTTCTTCAATCAGGGAATGTTTATCTGTTAAGCATAATTTCGAACATGTTGTGCAAGATCAGTCGACAGATCAGTATCAACTCTCAACAGACGAGTCTTTGCCCTAAGCGATAGTATTACATGAACTTCCACGCATTTCCTCGGAAATCCATAAACTGATAACACTATTTACTGAGTGAGAGGCCATGACAAAATACCCATACGTTGTTATTCTTCGTACGTGTTTATTCGTCAAGCAAACGCTACTTTACGTAAACTAAATAAACTGAAATAGTATCATACTTCCACGTATGGTGTTTAAAGTAAATACCAAATCACATTCACTCTTAAATGTACGCGGGAGATTTAATGCAGAAGCTAAAAAAACAACAACAAAGAATTAAAAAAATGGATGTATTTTGAACAGAAAAAAAAAGATTAAAAGGTGATCTGACAGTGCCAAAAAGGTTTACTGGCTTCTGACTTTTCGACTACTGCCCCTTAGTAACTAGTCTTTTGGAATACTGCTTGCTACTGAACCGAAAAGTAATAGACGTATATATATATGATAAGATATCGTCATGTATTTGGAACTATTGTCAAGAACCTGATAAATATTTGAAATTATTCCTAGGCGTTACTCTCTACTGTATCAGATGGGAAGGCTGTATTGTATCCAAAATCATCCTGGTTACGAAGTTATTTAAACCGATATTTCCGGATTCCTGCAATCCAACGTATGATTGGTCAGCTGTAGAGATAATATAGCTTAGGAGGAAAGTTTCACATTTTCTGGTTCGTTTCTGGTTTTTTTTTTTGTATTAGAGTATGTTATACTTAATTTTCTGTTTATTAAAACAATTTCAGTTTAGAAAGTACATATTTCCATTGAATTACAGTTTGTTTTTATGTTTCGAAAAATGCAAATTCCTTTCATTTCTTGCTTAAGTTCAACTTCCATTCAAAATTCCATAATCCTGTCACACAGCGATATCTGCTTTTGTCTTCATTGGTACTCAACCATTACTGTTTGTCTTAATACGCAGTTTTCTCTCTGCTATTCAACCAATGACATCTGCACGCACGTACGGCCGAACCACTTATTTTAGTGATGTAAAAATACTGCCACTAAGTTCATGTTCAGTGATCGTTCAGCATCTGCTCTAATTGTTAAGTTATATTACTAATTTAAACAACTCTGTACAACAATAGTATATTAGTTATTTCATTCATTGGCTATCATATATGTACATGTATGCACTACTGAAATAACATGTTAGCATGCTTCATTCTTTTGTGGTGCTTTTCTATAAATTACTTATATACAGTTTCAATGTTGATAGCAGTGTCATAATGATTATGTATTAAAGTTAATAACTACTTTACATGTAGATAGTGCAGTACTTTACTATAATAAAACATACATGCTTATACTAATTTAACTCTAGTTCCCCATGCAGTGTTACAACAGAATTATGATTTTTTTATTTTTTTTTACTGGATGTTTGTGGATTTTATGTAAACAGTCATGCAATTGTTTAAGCTATATTTCATGCAAAATTGTTTCAGATTTTAATCAAATACCTTTTATTTTTTTTACAAATTTCCTGGGGAGCCATACTCCCAGACCTACACAGCATTAGCACGCTTTGCATACTCCATTTTCAAACATTCTGCGCACAGGCCTGATAAGATCCCAGACCTACACAGCATTAGCACGCTTTGCATACTCCATTTTCAAACATTCTGCGCACAGGCCTGATAAGATTGGTTTTTCGTGAAAAAACTATCATCCCTTGAAAAGCCATGCTTTGTTTCTCATGTGAGTTTCCTTCTCTGTTAGTTGTCTTATTATTACAGCTATTTTTATTATCTTACAGTCTGTAGACTAAACAACTAATAATGAAGCTATTTAGAGCCAAGTGGCTAGAAGAAGTTATAATCTTTGTACATGAATATAGAGCAAACAAAGTGGTTTTCGCCCCCCAGTAGCACAGCGGTATGTCTGCGGACTTACAACGCTAGAATCCGGGTTTCGATACCCGTGGTGGGCAGAGCACAGATAGCCCATTGTGTAGCTTTGTGCTTTAAAAAAAAAACAAACAAAGTGATTTTATCGGTAATTCGTGGTTTTTCGATGCACCGGCTGCCCAGAGATTTTTTTAGGTGTAAACAAAAGGATTCTAATGCGAAGTTTACAAAACCCGGACAGAAACCATGGATCTGAGCATTTGTTCTGAAAATTATATCATGTTAAAGCTACAGGAATTGTCTTCTATGACAAAATATATGGTAAGTTGAGTTAGGTTAAGCGAGTACAGTAAGCAATGGCAAGCCATTCAGATGATTAAAAAAATATTGACTTATTGAATACTGTTGTTAAGTTCATCATATTAAAAACACATACAGATAAAATGAATTACTATTTATTGTAAACAAGATATAGATTGATGTGAACTAAAAATATCGTTGACAAAAATTATTATATCTTACCTGTAAAGACAATGGTGACGCCATTTTGGAAGATTTTTTTTTCGTTTGCTTTTGGGTAATGGGGTAAAGCTACTCAAGAACTATTTGCATTAGTCATCATTAATCTTAAAGCTATAAACTAAAGCGAAGAAAGACAGTCAACATCATCTACTGCCAACTCTTCTATGACCGAATTGTTTGATTTGACCATCACCCAAAGCGTGGAATGCAGTGTTTATTTGTTAATGGTCTGCAAACCATTGACCTACAGATCCATAGTCTGCCATGCTGACCACTGGACCCATTTTTAAAGGTAAGATCCTATATCGCTGATAAATCTTTATTAGTTGTTGTTGTCGTATTTTTATGATTTATAGACAGAAGTGATGACTGATTCAGTTAACAAAATAAAATATCAAAATATATTAATGAGTACATACACATACAATGGAATTTTCTTATCGATTATAAAAAATTCTAAGTCGAAAGGAAGTATTAGTGAATGTTTTTTTAAACAGTCTCACAACAAAATTTCGGATATTTCAAAACTTTAAAATGATGTAAATACTAAATCAAATTACATTGATTTCTAAAGCAGAAACTAGAAGCTATTTAGAAAGTTCATACTAAGTTCGATGTAATTTGGTTAAGTATTTTTACTGTGAGAAGGAAAACGTAAGGAGATATTAAGGAAACCCCTCGAGTAAAGAAAGATTAAGATTTAATGCCCTTACTGATCAATTTCCTCCAACAGTTTCAGGCAGCTTCTTTGTAGATTACATTAATGAGAAGCAGCTTCAAACTGCCCTCGTTAACTATGTAAGTAAGCCACTGCAAATGGTTTTAAACTTTCGCAATCTGTGCCTGCTTTTCTGCCACCAACATGATTTGCACTCTGATCTTGATCTCCATCGAGAAGGTGCACGGATTTCTGTGGAGGTTCAGACTCGAGAGTGAACCGACCTTTATTTTAAACAAAGTAGATTAAAGCACTGAATAGTCTCTATTTCGTCTCTTCCTTTTATCGTTCTCTCATTTGATTCGTCCGGCAATTTGCGGGTCGCGTGTTCGAATCCCCGTCCCACCAAACATGCTCACCCTTTCAGCCGCAGGGCGTTATAATCCCACTATTCGTTGGTAAAAGAGTAGCCCAAGAGTTGGCGTTGGGTTTTGATGACTAGCTAGCTGCCTTCCCTCTAGTCTTACACTGCTAAATTACATAGAGCTTGTGTAGGTTTGCGCGAAATTCATAACAAACCAACTCATTTGATTCACATTGGACTATGGATCTCTATGAACCAGACAGAGATATTGCACTAAATATGATGGATCCTATTCATCATCAAGGGCTTTCCACATTTATTCAGTGCAGAGCATGCACACAGAATCTGCAATTTTATTTGTAGTATGCTGTAAAACTGGGGTACCTGCTACATTATCCTTCCTGGCAATTGTATTTTCCTGCCTTACTGAGCCATGCGATTTACAATTTAGATGGCCTGCTACCTGTACTTTTGACCTTTGTATCCAAACATGGGTACATGAGGTGGGTCTGATACTGGATGCAGTTTCTGAATCTAATGATAAACCCATCCCTTCATGGCTTTTTACCACCACCCACTGTGATCTTTCTCCGAATCACCAGTATAATTCATATAATCATGACTGAAAATATTGATTTCTATTTACCGAACACCTCTTGAGCCAATCTTCCATACAAACTTTACTGATGGCAACAGTGGGTTCTGCAATGGCAATGGTTTTCTAGGTAGTATATGATCCGGGATGAGCAACAATATAATAAGCTTATCAACATCAAATGTACAATCGTGATTGGCCATCTAATTTATGAAGAAAGACTGTGAAGCTATTCTGGCAACCCTCTACACTATCAATAAAGTTTTTACAATTGTTTTTCTCTCACAAGAGAGTGAGTGACCCATTGATGTGTAAGCAATGTGACATACAAATCACCATGTTTCACATTTTACTTGGATTTCACTGATGTGATAATAAACAGCAGTGCCTTTTTATATACGTTTTAACTTGTTATGTTCTTTTGATATTGGGCAGTGTTATTGGGACTGATGACAATGTCAAAAGCAACATTGTTTTAAATTAGGTATAGATCATAGATCTTGTTAATTTCATTTTATACACCCATCTTTTTCACTTTTAACTCATTTTGTTCCATTGCTGTTTAAAAAATGTTCTACACAGATAAGCATTACTGCTTTGTGCCAATAAAACAAACAAACGTGAAACACAAACAGCAATGTCATTTTAAAACTACACAAAGCTTTATAGAATCAGTGATAGCACATATTTGGTGACATCACTATCAGCTTTACACCCCTAAAGTAGTTAGGATTTACCTTAATATACTGAACTTATAGAGTCCTAGTTCCTGTATTTGTTGTGATAAATTTAGATATCTGTTATCACCAGAAATGCTGTTATATTTCTAAGCTGCATTTTATATTAAATTCTTGACTTAACGCCCTCACCATCATTTTCCGTGTCTACACTTTTGTGGTTTACTTTTCAGAGACTTAACTCTGAACATTCCTCTTTTATTTCCACATCAGTTAAGACACCTTACTTGTAGTATCAGGCCCACCGGCATGGCCAGGTGGTTAGGGCGCTCGACTCGCAGTCTGAGAATCGTGGGTTCGAATCCCCGTCCCACCAAGCATGCTTCCCTTTCAGCTGGGGGGGGGCGTTATAATG